GCACACGTACGTCTGCAAGATGTCTGTTAAAGATCACTTCATCTGGAAAGCATCTGCAGTGTACAAACATCTGATAGACGTCTTTAAGATGTCAGTTTTACATACATTCTAAATCATAAACATCTCAAAGACATCTTCTAAACGTCTATTTGACATCTGATAGGAAACATCCTATAGACGTATTTGCAGATGAACAAACAATCTAAAAAAATACGTCTTGCAGATGTAAATGCAGACGTCAAATAGACATCTCTGTGATGTACGTCAGGGTACATGAACATCCGAATCAGCGATTCACAAAGCAGATGTAGCAGTGGGAATCACATGACACGGAGCTTCGTCATTAATGCAATGCTTCATTTAATCTGTAGACACCAGGCAGCTGAATGGTGCTCATGTTTGGAGAGCGAATGAGTCTCTGAAGAGATTTGATTTGAATCTTTCCTTTCATCTGGAGATGGGCTGCTGTTTCTACAGCACTGGAAAAAAACAGTCTGTTCATGCAGGTAACATATACTGTACACAAAACAGTTCTTAAAGTAATATTTCACCTAAAACTTAAACATCTGTCATCACTTACTCATGTCGGTTCAAACCTTTGTGACTTTCGAAGAGGCGATTCTTTTCAAATAGTTGATCAAACAATTTGCAAACAGTCTGAATTGGTGAAAAGGTCAAACCAATAAGATTATTCAACATTAAAAGTACATTAAGTAGGCTACTACAAACATTACCATAAGGGGGAGGCATATTTATTTATTGAAAATGACTAATTTATATATTAAAAATATGCTGCTAGCACAGAGGATAAAATTAACACCCATTTCAATAAGTACATTTACTTGAGTACAGTTTTTGGTTGCTCTACCCACCTCTGCTCAAGAAAGTCTGTGACAAATAAAGAGCAATAAATATCATCAGTATGATTTTTCATAGTTATCTTGTGTTTGATTTACATTTACAGTTAGTCATTTATCCAAAGCGACTTACAAATTAGGACAATGGAAGCAATCAAAATCAACAAGAAAACAAATGATATGCAAGTGCTATAACAAGTCTCAGTTAGCTTAACGCAGTACACGTAGCAAGGTTTTTTTTTAATTCTATAATAAATAAAAAGAAAACAGACAGAATAGAAAAAGAATAGAGCAAGCTAGTGTTAGAGGCCTCTTTTGCTTTTGTTAATTGTATAAATAAAAATAAAACAAATAGATAGAATACAAAAATATTAGAGAAGCTAGTCTAGTGTTTTTTTTTTAAGAAAACAAGCAGTTAGTAAATGACTAGAGTGCAAGTCTAAAAGGGGCAAGTATTTTTTTTAAGAATAGAATTAGAATAGAGAGTGCTGGTGTTAGAGGGTCAAATAAAGATGGAAGATATGTGTTTTTAGCCGATTCTTGAAGATGGCTGAGGACTCTCGGATGAGCTGTTTGGGTTGAGGTCATTCCACCAGGAGGGAACATTTAATTTAAAAGTCTGCGAAACTGATTTTGTGCCTCTTTGGAATGGCACAATAAAGCGACATTCACTTGCAGAACGCAAGCTTCTAGAGGGCACATAAGTCTGAAGTAATGAATTTAGGTAAAGGGGTGCAGAGCCAGTGGTGGTTTTGTAGGCAAACATTAATGCCTTGAATTGTATGCGAGCAGCTACTGGTAGCCAGTGCAAATTGATGAACAGAGGTGTGACGTGCATTCTTTTCGGCTCCGGGCAGTTTTAGCAATGTGGTCTGAGAAAGTCAGCTGATCACCAATCATAACTCCAAGATTTCTGGCTGTTTTTGAAGCAGTTATGATTGATGTGCCTAACTGGATGGTGAAATTGTGATGAAACAATGGGTTTGATGGAACCACCAAGCTGATCAGAAACTCCACCCTCTTACAACACTTACCAGGGAGAGACTGACTTGCTATTTCTCCTTTCTGTCACGCTGATTTTCTTCTCTTTGACAAAAGCTAACAAGAATAAGCCATCAGTGGACAACGAAGAGAAAGACTTTGAATAAGTTTCTTTCTGAACAGACAGCAGATCTTTCTGATTCTCATGGTTATTCATTTTTTAAACTGTCATTTAGAAAGTGAAAGTAAAGTTTAGGTTGCTGGAGCTCAAACAGTGAAAATGGCTTCATCAGATGAATATGACTATAATTGTCCCGTGTGCTGTGAAATCTTCAAGACTCCTGTTATTTTATCATGTAGTCACAGTGTCTGTAAAGAGTGTCTTCAACAGTTCTGGAGAACCAAGAAAACTCAGGAGTGTCCCGTCTGCAGGAGAAGATCCTCAAAAAAGTTTCCTCCAACAAATCTGGCATTACAAAACTTGTGTGATTCATTCCTGAAGGAGAGAAATGAGAGCCATTCATCAGGATCTGAGGAGATCTGCAGTTTACACAGTGAGAAACTCAAACTCTTCTGTCTGGAGGACAAACAGCCGGTGTGTGTAGTGTGCAGAGATTCAAAACAACACGACAATCACAAATTCAGACCAATAAGTGAAGCGGTTTCATCATATAAGGTAGGACAAATGCTTATTGTTTCATATGTAAAGAACAATGAGTAATCATAAACACAGATATCATCACATTCATGCACTCAGTATTTCTCTCTGACATTCTGAGTCTTTTGTGCAGAACACGATTCTTCTTTTTTCTTCTTAGAAACATTGCATGTTTACGGCCTATGCTGTCCTTTTCTGTTGCAGAAAGATTGATTATCCCTTTTGCTTTCTTTCAAATGGGTTACTGTAATGCTCTCCCTGTTGGAGTGTCTAAATCTTCTCTTAACAAATTGCAATATCTGCAAAATTCAGCAGCTAGAATTCTAACTGGGGCCAGGGTTGGTGACCGTATAACCCCTATTTTGAAGCCGTTGCTTTGGCTTCCCGTTAGCTACCATATATATTTTAAAATCCTAATGTTAATGTATAAGGCTTTGCATGATTTGGCTCCGCAGTATCTGGCCGATCTTTTAACACCTTACACTCGCATTTTGCGATCCTCTCAGTGTGGTCTCTTAGCTGATTCACAAAACATGGCTTCATTCCAGGGCCTTCTCATCTTATGCTCCAAAACTGTGGAATTCTCTCCCAGCTGACATTAGGGAAGCAAATTCATTGGGTATTTTTAAGTCTTGTCTTAAAACATTTTATTTCACAATTGCTTTTACTTGATTAGCTTTTCCATTGTGTTGTTTTTTATCTATCTGTTGTTATATTTGTATTGTTTTATATTGCTGTGTAACGCTTTTGTGTAAAGCACCTTGAGAAAGTAAAAACACTTTTAAAGGCGCTAAACAAAATAAAACTTTTTTTTATATTATTGTGTACATCTCAAATTAAATAGTTTTAGATCTTAAAAGAAATACAACATAAAGGCAACTTGAGTAAATAGAGTACAGTTCTAAGCACAATTTTTTTTTTTATCCAATATCTATCACCCATGTAAAAAAAAAAAAAAAAGCAATAACAGCAACTAAACGTTTGTGATAACTGGAGATCAGTCTTTCACAGCGCTGTGGTGGGATTTCATCTCACTCTTCTTTGCAGAACTGCTTTAGTTCAGCCACATTGGAGGGTTTTCCAGCATGAACTGCTTGTTTCAGGTCCTGGCACAGCATCTCAACTGGGTTCAAGTCAGGACTTTGACTATGCTTTTTTGAGCCATTTAGATGTGGACTTACTCCTATATTTTGGATCATTGTCTTGCTGCATAGTCCAATCCAATTGAACTTCAATTTACAGACTGAAGACCAGACATTCTCCTTTAGGGTTCTCTCGTAGTGTGTAGAAAATGCAGTTCCTTCCATTGGTGCTGGGTAGGGTTGGGAATCGAAAATCGATTCCAATTCTGGAATAGGATACTTGTTGTAAAATTAATTTCGATTTCTCCTATAAATACCTGTGTGCGCATCTTTTTTTTTTTTCTCCACCTGTGAGAACCAGACCTGGCGATCTGCCAGGACCTTTCTCGCTAATCTAAGCTCTCCAAAGTATGGATACATTTGTGGAATCAGAAGCCGAAAAAGCTAAGTGTAATATTTGTGATAAGCTAACTTGCTGCAAGAGAGGTGTCACCACCAACATGATAAATCACTTTAACCCTTTAAAGCATACTTCGGGTCTTTAGCAATCATTTTTTAGTTAGACATCAACTTTCTTAGTATTCCTCAATCTATTCATTATAAACAATATAACAAGAAAAAATAATAAAATATTAAAGAATGTCTGTTTTCTGATGTTTTGTAAAAAGTGTATAGGGTCGCACCTAAACTTTTCTGAAGACGGTCAGCTCCCCTCAGAGTTACATTCGTATAAACCCATACCCCCAATTCAATATATAGGATTCGCATTGTGAACAGTGAGTTTGCTCTGCCTGTACAGTGTGCGTCCATCTTCAGCATCTCTGACCTCTCCCTGCTGAAAAACAAAACAAACAAAAAAAACACTATAGAAACCATCACAGAAATTCGAATGGTTTCCTCTACAAATACCATTACAAACATTACAAACTATTAACCATTAAAACCATTTAAAAATTGTTACTTGTAGTGTGTTTTGGGACATTTTCCATTAGGATTTAGTGGTTTTAACAAGCCCCCAATAAAAGGTGACAAATTACAGGTAGAGACCCACAGGGACCATTACGGTTTCCATTAAAACCAATACAATTCCAATTATAACCAGTAAAACCTGTAATGGTTTCTATTGGTTTTTAATGTCCCATTTATAGGCTTCATAATCTTTCCACACAAATGACATTTTGGAAAATGACTGCAATGCAGTTTGTGCAAATCCAGAACAGAGATCGCCTGAAATAAAACAAAAAACAGGCCTTTTGCCAATCTCTCATTTGGAGCAGAAACTGGCTGATTCCGATTTATGGCCGGACCAGTGCATCTTTAAGTTTCATAAATTGTTGTGTGCTGGGCTTTTTGCCCAGTTAAAGAATTAGTTGTGTGTTATTAACAGTTCTAAAAGTTATATAACCATCAGTCAGAAGTGTATCCATTTAACAGGGATCTCAGACCCTTCTCAGACTGATATATTTTAATCACCTTCTTCCTCATCATTTCTGGATTTTCTTTTAACTTTGGTATAGTGTGTTACTGGGTGGTAAGACCTTTTAACCAAATTCATGCTGTTGAAAAAATTATATTTAAGTGTATTTTGCATTTACTCAAGTTGCTTTTTAGGTTTGGTTTTGAAGTCTGAATCAATTTATTATGAGATATATACACACACACAAAAGAAAAATAAATCCGGATAGGGCAAATACTTTTCACAGCACTGTATGATGATCACTGTATTCTCTTCACTGTAATCTGGTGTTTTTATCTTGTTCAATTCTAGGAGGAGCTCAATACAGCACTGAAGTCCTTACAGGAGAAACTTCAACACAATGAAAGCATTAAAGAAGAGTTTGAAAAAATAGTTCAACACATCAAGGTGAGGAAACACAATCCTCAAAATCACAAAAGTGATTTTCAGGACAGGTGTAGGATCACTATACACAATTATGACTTGTTATATTTAATATAATGGATTTCAGTATATTATTTTTGTAAATGATGAGCAGAAATCTGTTTCTGGATCTGTTATATGTCGGAATTTCTCTGGGATCTGAATGATGTGATGTGTTGATGTGTGTTGATTGAGATGATTGAAGTGAATGTGGTTTGATTTCAGTCTCAAGCTGAGCACACAGAGCGTCAGATTAAACAGCAGTTTGAGAAGCTTCATCAGTTTCTCAGAGATGAAGAAGAAGCTACAATCACTGCACTGAGAGAGGAAGAGGAGCAGAAGAAGCAGATGATGAAGGAGAAGCTGGAGGAGATGAACAGACACATCTCAGCTCTTTCATACAAAATCAAAGACACGGAGGAGATGATGAAAGCCAGTGACGTCTGCTTTCTGAAGGTCTGATTTCAGATCATCCATTGATTGATTGATGGTTGATTGAGTTCTTGATGATCAATGGTGTGTTTGTTCTGCAGGAGTTTCC